AACGTAAATCGCCTGCTTGTTGATGAGCGAGGGATTAAATGCAATTCTGAGATGAATTGCGCATCTTCAGGCCCAAATGATCCTCGCGCCATGTCAACACAACGCATGTGAACAGAAGCAGACGACGTCGAGTCGAAGGACTTCACGGCCGGGTGCTAATCGCGTGAACAGAAGCGGACAATGTCGAGTCGAAGGACTTTACGGCCGGGTGCCAGTCGCGCCTCTGATGACCTTAACGCCCCACGCGCAGCGATGGCGTGTTGTGAGCTTACTTCTCTCCTTCCCAGCACATTTATTCGCTTAATGACAGTGGTCGAAAGTTTCGCTTGTAAGCGTTTAAACTGCAGTTATGGAGTAGCCAGTAAAAACCTTTCGATTTCTCGACTTTCCTTTTGTCTATTATTTATCTTCGGACGTTCATAACAAGGGAAGGCATCACCTTCCGCCCTGTGTGGTGAGCGTTGCATGTATGTCATCTGACTCACTGGGAATCAGATTGGTGCAGCCATCGGGTCCGGCTGTGAACCAGTCATTCAACTGTTCGCTCGAACCCTGAATCAGCGCCGGGTCGGGTCAGTCCGGGCGCTGACGGGGCATCTCCGGCCTGCTCGGCACGCGGCACTGAAGATCCCACTTCTCCAGTCACCGGAAGGTGCTGACACACATATCGCGCGTTGTCGCGCCGACGCCATCTCCGAGCAGCGCTCGTCGCCGGTTGCGCTGACGAGAAAGGCACGCCCACCGCGCGCCTCGTAAACCGGCCGTGCTGACGAGAAAGGCACGCCCACCGCGCGCCTCGCATACCGGTCGTGCTAACGAGAAAGGCACGCCCACTGTGCACTTCGTATACCGGCCGTGCTGACGAGAAAGACACGTCCACCGCGCACCTCGCATACTGGCCGTGCCGACGAGAAAGGCACGCCCACCGTGCACCTCGTAAACCGGCCGTGCTGACGAGAAAGACACGCCCACTGCGCACCCCGCATACTGGCCGTGCTGACGAGAAAGGCACGCCTACCGCGCACCTCGTAAACCGGCCGTGCTGACGAGAAAGACACGCCCACCACACATAGGCACGTACGCTCCGGCCACGGAGCTAAGCGTTGTGTTAAACGAGGGCGCGTGGTCTCAGAGGCATGTTTTCGACACAAGCAGCTTGCCCCTATAGTGCCTATGTATGGGCGGTAGCCACATACCTATGCAGCGTATCTTGGGAGCACAACCTTGCAGAGGAGGTCTACCAACAGCAAAACATGTCTTGGCTGCTCATGTACTGATATCAGGATGGGTTCTCGGTTGATTCGTACAGGCAAAATGCAGCCGCACATTAAAACGACCCCGCTGAGATTCTCTGAAGCCTTCTGCAGTTCATCGGGAAGGGAAGACATCCGCTCCTGTGCTCCTCCACTGCGGAAGAAGAGGCGTCACACGTCCCGCCCACCCGCCAGGCGGAGCCGATCAGACCAGTCTCCCCCTCCCCCTCCCCCTCTACCGACTTTCCACGGCGGCACGCGCACCGGTCTCGGCCTGGCCTGCTGGGAGTCGTGCCGGAAGTGGATACGGCTGACCCCTGTACGACGGGGAAGGTGCGGCCGGCTACCGTCAGGCAGAAGCGCGGGCGATGTATGGTGCTCGGGGAAAAGCAGGCGAAGTCGTCTCACGTCCAAATGGCGTCGTTTTTTTTTGTCCATTCCAATGTTATCGTTCCTCCAAAGAAATCCATTAATTCACAGCACATTTGCTCGACCTGTAAGCATTTGTTCTATCACGACAGCTGGGTGACTAACTTTTACGGGACACCATAGTCATGCTTACCGTCAGGAAATGCTAGAGCTCAAGTTGCTGCGATTCTATTCTCACTGGCTAGCAAGGCAAGTCAAGCATCCGGTCCCAGTTGGAAAAAAACAACATTTCGATCCAGCCTATGGCAAAACATACGACAAATATGTTGCTTTCACTCCCTTGGTGGCATCCATGGCCTAGGCCGGCCCCCTTGAATTCGCCTGTGAGAGATAGAAATACGTAGATGCACTTGCTTTTAGCCGTGGCGAGCTGAGCAGTTGATTCGGCCCGACCTAACAGGGCCAGGAATGCTCGGCTGGCTGCTGACAATGTGTCAGCTAGCGCCGTGACTTGTGCCTACGGTGAGCTCGTGGTGACTGGATGGTGGAACTTGTGGTGGGACTGGATGGTGGGACGTGTGGTCTACAGTGACTGCGCGTTCGAAGGCCGGTATTCAAGTCGCATCAGCATTGTAAACCCATCACGCCGTTTTAGGGAGGCTGCCACTGAATTGCTCGCGCCGGCACTGAGTCATAGTCGCTGAATGTGAAAAATCGTCGTTCTCGCTTGTTCAGCACGAGGAGAAATGGAATGACGTTGCGGTGTTACTACAAAACTAGCAGAAACATCTCCAGACCAATGCTAATCTCAACTCCCAACGAAAGTCTCACTGCCTCGTCGCGCGATTGGCTTAGGCGAACGGAGGTCCATTCGACACTGCCCGAGAGCGAGTCACTTTCTAAAGCCTGTAAGCAGCACGTAATTCGGGCAGCTTTCCTCGCGGGTCGCTGCAATGACCGTGCAGCTCCTGCGGAATGCTGGACAACACCATTTGCCCTCAAAATACTTAATTCTATGGCGCATGGTACCAGTTGTAAACCATATAACTACCTACACACCAACTGCTTACACACCAGCCCTATAACTACCTACACACCAGCCATATGTTTAATATTGCAGTTTAGTCAAGGTTGCGAAAACCCATTGGACATCGATAGATATGTATTTGTAATCATCTGCTTGTAACAGACACTTCTTGCCTTTGAAATGGGTCTTAAGCACGAACGTATCACGGACGATATAAAATCGCGTACCCCTACGCGATACGGCGAGGTCTAATTCAAGGAAAATTCGACAGTTTGATACTGTTGTGCCAGACGTCAACCCAATTTAGCATTGAGGAATGTTGTTTCTGAAAATGCAGTCTCATATAGCCATCCTCACTGCAGTTGCAGCCATGAACAAGGCCGTGTCTGTACTCAATATCAGTGATATAAGTGAGAAGGGTCTTGAGCTCCTGTTTTGGGGCACTACGAGTTGGGAGTTTATATGCCGACAATAACCGAAGCTTTACTTCAGGAGAAGACACTGACTGAGCATCATTATCAACTAACCTTTCTTATTTTCCTCAACGTCTCAAGACGTGCCCATGGTAAACATCAGCACACGTTCATGGTGATCACGAGCACAGCTTGAGACGTCTAATTTTACCAGCATAAGCCATCTATTGCTTGATAACGGTGCTGAACCAGTATCTCCTGGTACAACGAAGGTCGATTTCTATCAGCACAGAACTGCCAACTGGTAAGGCCGCATCCGCACCAGCCTCGGAGCATCACAGCAGCCGAGCCGCCACTCGATAAAAAGCTGGACTCAAAGCGGCGAGGAGGCTCGCCTGCATCGCTCATTGCGCCGGACGTGAGCGGCCGACCGCCAGTGACGCCGTGCGGCGGGACTCGGCCGGCGCCGATGACATCACCGACCACGTGACGTCGAGAGCCAGCTGCTGCCAGCCCGTGTCAGGCACGGGGTCACGCCGGGGACGGGCCACCGCACGAGGCGGGGATTGGCCGGACGGCAGGGGTGGACAGGCGAGGTCTGAAGGGATGACGCCAAGGGCAGTGCGGCTGGGATCTTCTGATCATTGTTTCAACTGTGTCCTCAGCAAACCACAGTGCTTGCTGAGGGTTACGCTGAGACCGACCCAAACTAGGACAACAAACATGCCTTAATTGTTGGATGATGGCGATGATGATTTGGGTTTTCGGTCGCGCCGACTACGTTGGTCATATGGCGGCCATTAAGTGTTGGGAGGAGTGGTCCATTGGATGGTTTTCGTCCTTGTGCATAAGTGCCCGCCCATCCCCCGCCCCCGCAGCCGTGGCTTCGGGCGTCCCCTGCCGGACCGGTAGTTCAGTTGCCGGCCGGCAATGTTATCTGGGCCAGCGCCCCACAGCAGTCAGCTTCGCCGGCGTTGTCGGTTTCCATGGGAACGAGACGCTGTCCGACGCCGTGGGAGCCAGCTGATCGTGGGCCCGACGATGACGGCAGGCGGCGGCGGGGTGATTATCACCTTCCGCTTGGTAGTGGTAGTTGGTACTGCGTTGATTATCAGCCGGCAAGCGGGCAACTGTTTTACGTGTTGTACTGGCTATTACCGGCGGCAAGCTGATAGCAATGCGAAGTGTCGGACTGATTATCATCGAGAGGCTGCAGACGCTGCCCATACCAGGCTGCTGATTGTCATCAGCGTACTGGCGTCGGTGACTGCCGCTGATCGCGGAATTTGATGAACGCAGCACATGCATGCTGCGCTGGCAGCTGGCTGCAGTGATGCTGCCCGTGCAGCGCCGCTAGGCGATCGGTGTCACTGATCGCGTTGGTCAGTGACCAGCGCCGTCTCCGGGGTCCGCGCTGGTCACTGACGCCCTGGCGGTGGCTGCGCCCGGAGCGGAGCCTGTGGGCACGGCCTGACAGTGACCAGCGCCGTCTCCGGGGTCCGCGCTGGTCACTGACGCCCTGGCGGTGGCTGCGCCCGGAGCGGAACCCATGGGCACGGCCTGAGAAATTCAGCCCGACAACTGCCGCGGCTCCGAAAATCATGTGAAAAGCCTGCGCTTCCCACCAGCCGGCGGACGCAGCCGGCCGCGCCGGGCCGCAGCAGCGCGGCACAGGCGGACTGACCGGTACACACCGGTACTGACCAGTACACACCGCAGCGACGGCGGGCGGCGCTGGAAGCCGCACTCCAAACACGCTCGATCGCATCTTCAGCTGGCGATCAGCGCAACAATTCGCTGGTGGGGGCTTGCGGGAAGGCATAGGCCCTACTCTAGCTCGTTTTGCCATTTTCACTTGTGGGTACCACACACGTTGCGATAGTTTTTGGGGTCCAATAAGCTAGGATAATCTAAGTCATGCGTAATGCGTCCGAAGTAATGCGTCTAAGTAATGCGTCCGAAGCTAGTCGCAAAGCACCGACCAACTTCAGGTGAGCACTGAACGCATACACATGTTGCGCACTCAAAGCGCTGCGCGTCTGGATCTGGACGCATGTCCGTGCACACATCACCATGCTGCTGACGGCTTTCTTCAGCGACCGAACTCAATTTACAAGGGAAACTTCGTCGACCCTGCAGGCAGGAACTGTACTCCCCCCAGATTCTCACGCTATCCTCCGGACGTGAGGCCGGAAGTGCCACCTCCAGTCAGTGAACTCCTCCCCCTTACCCCAGGCTTGTCCGTCAGCTGGCTAGTCAGCTGACTGGACTCCGAACGTCGACCAAAGACGAGGCGGAAGGGTGACGTTCTAATGAAAAAAATGACAAGGCGTGATGAGCGCATAGGTGGCCTCTATGCAAACGTATGCCACGTTTTCCTCAAGCCGCCACATCCTCACTGCGATAAAAATATCCATACTTCATTCCATTTGAGATTGAAAGAGGCCATACAGCTGGCTAGCATTGGTGAATGTGACAGCTCTTTCAATAAAGTCATCCCCTGGGTCCAGCAGGCCTCGCGGCACCGACGGCCCGAGCCGCGGCCGGGGCGGGCGGCGTCCGGCCGTGTGAGCTCCCGGCGCGGCCTCACCGGCCGGCCGCGTCGGGTACCGTTGGTCCACAGTGGCACAGTTCCGCGGGAGCGGCGCGACCGGCTCATTTTCTCACTTGAGTCGATCGCCGGCCGGCGACGACTGGGTGGGGCAGTCGGCGCGGCCGACCGGCCCACAAACGCCTGTGGTCGCCGCAACCCGTGCCGGTCCCAGCCGGCCGGCCGCGGCCGGCCGCCGGCCGCCCGCTCTGCGTCGCGCATGATCGCCGCTTGGCGGGCGTGTTCGGCTGGCGTTCCAAACCTCAAAATATCCTAGCGAGGAGCAGTGATGGATGAGCAGTGATTGATGGGATCGCGATGATTCAATCGATCAGATCGATTCGGATCACCGTAAGATCCGATGAGATCAGACCATAGTTCAGGCGTCGTTCAGTTGCATCACAGGGGCGACTCCCGCCTTCGGCTGGCAGATAGTTTGCAGACGGACCATGAAGTAACCGCCCGTCTTGGAACGGTGCCAAGTGTTACCAGCCGGGATTGCACCAAGAGGTGAACGCCCGATGCAACAGGAAACCAAGGTACCGCTGGTGATGATATCTTCATGTAATGCGTTGCGATTTCCTGTGCAGGGCACAT